ATAACTTGAATCACCTAGAACATTAAATAATTATAGAATCTAAAAAAAAACCACGGTTGTACACAGAAAGGCTCCTGGCAGAATTTAGGTTCTGATAAATATTAAAGAACTCTATAATGCTTGGTGTAAGATCTTTAACTATTCTTTTATTTTTCTTTTTGGGTCACACTGGGCAATGCTCAGGGGTTACTTCTGGCTCTACATTCAGGAATTACTCTTGGTGGTGCTCGGGGGACCATATGGGATACTGGGAATTGAATTCGGGCTGGCTGTGTGCAAGGCAAATGCCCTATCTGCAGTACTATTGCTCCAGCCCCAACCTATTCTATTTTTAAAACCTTAGGACCCCATAGCCAGTTAAGGTCTAGGGTTATATAAGTGAATAGATTCTTCCAAACATACATTTATGACTTCAGTCATCAGATTATTGGGATTCACAGCTGAGCCCCATGGATCCATTCCAGTTAGGAAGATGCTTTCTTGACCTTTGTCCCTTCCTTTATTATGTATTTGGCTTTTCTTTAATCAGATATTTATCGACCACTTTCAGTGCTGTTTCCGGGAATACAAAGAGGAGATTTCGCTTACAAGATCCCGCTTACATGGAGGGGAAAGCAATGTATTTCCAACTTTATGTATCACTCTAGAACTCTAAACCGTGTTTCTCAACTGGGGGATACATGGCCCCAAGAATATTCCAAGGAGGCCACGGGTGAAAATTACATAAATGGGGAGGTACAGTACATAACTAGGCAGAGGCGGGGGCAACTGGTAATATGTGGGCGGAGGGGAGACCCTGTGGCAAAAAGGTTGAGAAACTCCAGCCTAACAGAGTCCTGCGATCACAGAGAAGATAATTCTCCTGGAAAGAGAATGTAGGATAAGAAGAAATTTACTAAGCAAGATGAGGAAGGGTAAGAAAGGGGCATTTTAGAGAAACAATTTGTAAGCTGTATCTTCTGGTGCTTCCAAAACCTTTATGTCTCAGCGCAGGCCAGCTTTTCTTGGTGTGCCATCAAGAAGGAGCTGGGGTGCGCCAACCAGAAATCTGCATTACCCACAGCTTCCCATTCCCACTGAGCAGAATTCAATCATCTCAAAAATAACAATAAAATCAGAAAAGTTTCTGGTTCTTAAATATGTGCTCTGAGCAAAATGTTCACAATATATTGCTTATGACAAAGTGAATTAGTAAACAGTCTCAAATATAGAAATATTTTAGAAATATAGTTTTATTACTTGGAAATACATACAAAAATTCCAACACAGCTAAAAAACAGTTGCCAAGCAGAGATCCTATTCATGAACACATAAAACAGTTATAAGCAGCATAAAACAATCTAAATCCAGAAACAACTTATTGTCTTCGGGGTCTTTAAATATTGGGCTTAAAAAGTGATTTTTTTAATGTTGTAGTTCTATTTGAATATGTTCTCCAGATATGGAGTACTAACATTTCAGTTTGGTTCATGAGCTATGTTAAGAGAAATCGCTAGTCATTAACTAATTGGAAAACAGGAATATTACGAGTCCGTATCGAGTCTGCTCTCACTTTCTATCTTGAATATTTTCTCAAAAATTCCTAACAGCTGCAAACAGCATTCACAACTTATAGCAGCTCTCTGGGAAACAAAAGCTTGCATCTGAGAAACCCAAAATTATTTTAGGTGGCAATTTATTTGCCTCTTATTTTTTACAATTTTGTCCAACCAGATTCTATTTCAGAAGGGGGGCTGGGGGAAAGGGAGTTATGTTATTATTTCACTATACTCCTTTATTCATTCTGACTCTGGCTGTTTAACCTTCTTAGCAACCCATTTTCTGCAAACTTCAACTCATTCTGAACTTTTAACAATTCAAACAGTTTTAAATTTATCATCTTCTTGGCTTTATTATGAAAATTTTTGCATTTGTACATAATCTTAACCTAAAGACAACCTAACTTTATCAGAGATCTCTGAGATGCCTTTTCATTAACTAGTTAACTCTTGAGGTTCATTTAGCTACTGCCCCCCCCCAAAAAAATATTAAGAATCTTATCCAGAGATAGTTTCATCCCTTTATGATCCACTCACTGCTGGTGTAATTTTTAAAAAACTGGAGAAGGTAGCAGTCTGAGAAGCAGAGAGACAAGTTTCTGGTTTTGATCTGCGACTCAACTGTGTTCTTTGTCTAACTTGCATCCCCTTCTCCAGGCTGAGGCACCTGAGGCCCAGGGTACATTGGAAAAGTGGGGAATCCCACCTGCAATACTCTCCAATTCCTAACGTAGAGGCCAAGAAGTCTAAATCATGAGTTTTAGATTCCTGGGAGTTCTTTCTGCACCCAGCTGGAAACAAATCCCATGGGATCACCTCTGCTTGCATCTCTTCCATCTGTTCCTCTCCTGTGCTGTCACTGTCTTTGTGTTAGTCACTGTCTCTCCCCGGCAGGACACATTTCATCACACCTTTACCTGCGCCCACAGTATATTAAACATGAACACACTTCGATGTTTAAAATTTGTTGATGGTGTTCTACTGCCTGGAAGATACTACAAACATCTTAGCTGGACACAAGGTCCTTTATAATCAGGTCTATTTCTTTCTCCAACTCCTTTCTCATTTCCCAAGTCACAGGCCTCCACCACCCTGCCCCCAGCACTACCCCTAGAGCAAGAACTTACTGTCTCTAGTGAAGTTTGCTGTTTCCTATCTCTGCTCAGATTTTCTCCAAGAGCCCTACCTCCTGATGAGTGCCTATTATCATTTTTTAAAAACTCATAGTAATAGTCTCACTGAAATCTTTGTAACTGCTCTTTCTGCCCCATTAAACTATTCCCTTTTTGTCTTAACATCTATAATGTGTATTATAGTTATTGTTTATGTCTGCCCAACTAGACTGTAGGCAATTCCAGGATAGTATTAATGCTTTACTGATCTTTGTACCCATCACATTGAAGAACAGAGTTAATAAACTTGCACTAAATGAATACAACACTGAAATTTGCTCCCCCATGACTCTGATTCTAGTTGGATCTCTGGGATCCAAAGAGGAAAGAGGTTTTCTTTTTCTTCTTCTTTTTTTTTTTTTTGCTTTTTGGGTGACACCGGTGATGCACAGGGGTTACTCCTGGCTCATGCACTCAGGAATTACTCCTGGTGACGCTCAGGGACCATATGGGATGCTGGGAATCGAACCTGGGTCGGCTACATGCAAGGCAAACGCCCTAACCCACTGTGCTATCACTCCAGCCCCGAGGTAGCTTTTCAAATAGCTAAAGCCTACTCTTAGACCCAAGTCTCCACCAAGCCTTAGCACCTGTGTTTTAAAAACCTCCTGTTCTTACAGGGTTTTTTTTTTTTCCATGGAATGCACGTATGCTTGTTAATGGTTGGGATTTTTGTTTGTTTTTAATGGGATGACACTTATGGGCCTGGAATGGAGACCAGTGGGGAAGCACATGCTTTGCACTGGATGAGATCCTGGCACCAAAGGAAAGAAAACTGAGGCAAAAAGTCCTGATAAGTGCTGAGCCCTTCAAGGGTGCAAAAATTCTGTCAGATGCCGTGAACTTTATTCAGTAACATTTGATGATGGAGACTGTCACAAAACGCAGTATCTTTGTCCTGAATGGCCTGATGTATGACTGTGTCAGGGCTCGGGCCTATGTTCTGGTTAGTGTTAACTCCAACTATGGCTCCCGCAGAGTCATTTCTTAAACAGCCACTGGATTATCTTAGATCTCATTAAACACATGTTCCTGGAGGCCTTTTGTATCACTTTCGCTGCAACTCAATTTGTGAGGATAATCTTTCTTTTTTTCTTTCTTCTTATTTTTTAAAGCCAATTATAAAATTAAAAATCCACTCCAATGAATTGCAGGTGCTGCTTTCGGTTCTGTTTACCAACTTGTTGAACTTCTTTGTGAATTTTCATTCTGATTTCTTCAGTTTGGCCTATCCATAAAGTTGGTCCAGGAAGACTGCAACACTGACTTCATTACTGATTCCAAACAATGACAAGAACAAAACTACGGGGCCAGTCTTTAGGAAGCTCTGTCCTGCTTTTCTAGTTTATCTGATAAAATATACTAAACATGCCCCTTGTTACATTATTAACATGATTTTCAATGAAACGATGGGTAAGTCATGCATAACTAAGAATCCTAGGTTGACTTTTAAAAATAACAATCATTAAATATCCATTATAAATATTCACTTTATTTTAAAAGAATTGGAAGATGTTACATATATTACATACTACATATAATGGCACATGGGTCAGCCTTTTTAAGCTTAAAAATAATCTTTCCCCAAACTGGGATTGACTTAGACTCCAAGTATAAAATGACTCTTGGCCTATAGCACCAACCCAGGCCCAGAGGAAAGGCAGTTTGGAAGCTGTCTCTCCTCTGGCATTGGGCTTCCTGATATATGACACGGAGGGTCCTCTCCCTCAGTTTGATTCCCTGGCAGTATTGAGGCCTGGCACGGGGACCCATTTGACTGTACTTAGCAGGCCCAGGAAATCAGGGCGTCTAGAGGGGACAGGGTCCTCTAACATTTGACAATGAAAAAACTTAAAAACATATGTGCCTTATTGTTTTTCAACTACATAGCTATAACAAGACACTACAAGACAAAAAAGATTAGAATTCTTGAAATACCATTTCTCTGCTGGTTTTTCTCTTTGGAAATAGAATAGCATGATAGGAGAGCCTTGAAAGTCATCTAGTTCAATACTAGTAACTTGCTCCATAATATCCCCCTTTCCCAGATTTACATATAATTCAAATTCTAAATACCATCCATATGTTACTTTGTCAAACACATAGAAATTTAATAACACTTTTCATTTTCTGTTCTTAATTCATAAGGACAGTTCCTGCCAAATGTTCTAGCTTATGGCTCTCCTCCTCTTCATGGTATGTTTAAATTACACATTAAGAATTAAAAAAAAAAAAACCACTATGGAATTTTCATAAGCTATTGCTGATCAAATCAGTAAAACACAATACACAGTGTGAAAATTTTAATTTATTCCCCACCCAAGTATCCAGAATATAGACCCCTTGGCTTTAAGAACTGTGATAATGAAGGTCCTACAGAATTGATCATATGTAAAGGAAAAAAAATAAAGAAAATGTCCATAGGAAACGTCCCTAAACCCTCCCTAACCTAGTAGTGCAAGTTAATGGTATGTTTCTGGCAATGTCGCCTTTTACTTGATTTATTTAAAAAAAAACAAAAATTACAGGGCAGATTTAAAGCAAAGAGAGGCCTCTGGAAAAAAACATTTTTTTAACCCAGCAGATTTTTTTTTTTTTGAATGAAGCTATATTAATGACATGATGCATTCAGAGTCAGGGGGAGAAAAAAAAGTTAAAAACCCAAAACTTCTTTCAGTTTATTCAAAATAAAAATACACATAGAATTATGAAAATATAGGTTTACTATTTCCACCACATACAATGATGCTGCTGTTTGAAAGGCTTGCAAATTGTTTTTCAAGTTTTTAAAGCTCATCTCGATCCCTCAATAAAGTATACCTATATTCGCTGGGTGCGAGCTTCTGGAAGGAGCTTTCTGGTGGGCTGCTTGCCACATCTTGTTCTTCCTATGGTAGAAAGAACAAAACATTTTTATATCAATGTATTCTGTGATACTATGATATATAAGAATATTAAATGAATAATACCTCCCCTATAATAAACTGCTTAAAATTCAATAAATTAGGTGGCTGTATGCGAAAGATAAAGGTTAAGTCTGAAATCTTGCTTTTTTAAATTCAAATGTCTTCACTCAGATTCTCCCGGGCAGGGTAGCCACAGAACCACCAACTACTGACTTGGGGATAGCTCCTGAGGTTTGTGGGAGGAAACAAAACCCCTTCGGCCTGCATATTTTCCACAGCATGCCACAGAGGTAGCACAATCCTGACTAAGGTGGCTGATTTTTTGGTAAAAACAAAACAAAAAAAGATCTGAGTGTTTTTCTAGAGTTTGTTCACATTAGAGTTTTCTTGTTTTTGTTTCTGGGCCACACTCAGCAGTACGCAGGACTTACCCCTGGCTCTGCGCTCAGGGATCACTCCTGGCAGGATCAGGGGACCAAATGGGGTGCCAGGGATCAAACCCAGGTTGGCCACATGCAAAGCAAGCACCCTAACGTCTATACAATGGCTCCAGTTCCATGTTCAGGTTGTTTTAGTTTTCAAGTCACACCTAGTGGTGTTCAGGCGTTACTCCTGAGACCACAAAGAGGTGGGGTCAAACCTAGGTCTCCATGTGTAGGTCCAACCTAGGCCTCCAGTCCTTTGAGCTATCTTCCCAATCCTGCTCAGAGCATCTTTACAAGGATATTGAAGATCAGGAGCTCAAGTTTATGTATAAAAGCTCTAGATTTTTTGCACTTGAACTGAAAAAAAAAGGGGGAAAGAACTGTCACTGAAAACCAAGTTCTCACCTTTTCTCCTGGGGCTGTATCAGTTGGTTCTGGACCATGGTGGAATTCTCTGTGTAGTTTTCCAGAATGTAAGTCAAACACAAACTGCTTGAGTTTTCCGGGAATTCTAAAAAAATGCCCAGTAATAATTCAGGTTAAACTATTTACATGGACTTCTCTTTTACCACGTTCACAACTTTAAAGAGAAACATTTTTCAAAATGTGACTCTTAGGCCAGAGAACTAGTGCAAAGGTTAAGATGCCTGTTCGTCTAGCTTGCAGTTGCAGCTGAGACACTGGTTCCATCCCTGGCATGCCAAACTGTCCCCTGAGCTAAGAGTGACTCCTGAACACAGAGCCAGGAGTGGCCTCTGAGCACAGAAAGTAAGGAAGGAAGGCAGAGGTGGAGGGAGGGGGAAGGGAACGAGGGAGGGAGGAGAAAAGAAGAAAAGTAAAAAGAAAGAAGAAAAAAGAAAAAAGAGAAGAGGACCTATAATCCTACTATCCTACCATCAAATGTTAGGCCATCCACTTGTTGAGCATTTATAGATCACTGTTTTATATATATATATATATATATATATATGTATATATATATATATATATATATATTTTTTTTTTTGGTATTTTGGATCACACCTGGTGATGCACAGGGGCCACTCCTGCACTCCTGGCTCTGCACTCAGGAATCACCCCTGGCGGTGCTTAGGGGACCATATGGGATGCTGGGAATCGAACCTAGGTTGGCTGCATGCAAGGCAAACGCTGTGCTACTGCTCCAGCCCCGAGATCACTGTAATCTTGATTCTTGAAACTAGCAGTGTATACACGCAGTCAATCCCGGTTTGATGCCCAGCACCACATATAGTCCCACTCACTGCTAAGAATCATCTCTGTGCATGTGGCCAAGACCAAGTCCTGAGCACCACTGAGTGTGCCTCACCCAAACAAAGACAGACAGACGGACGGACGGACACACAACACACACATACACACACACACACACACACAGGTGCATGCGTGCACACAGAACAGTCTGGCCCTCTTTTCTAGTACTTCGCCAAAAAAAAAAAAAGTTAAATGTCTTTTTTCTTTGCTTTTTGGGTCACACCCGGCGGTGCACAGGGGTTACTCCTGGCTCGTGCACTCAGGAATTACTTCTGGTTTTGCTCGGAGGACCATATGGAATGCTGGGAATCAAACCTGGGTTGGCCAGGTGTGAGGCAAATGACCTACCCACTGTGCTATCGCTCCAGCCCCAATGTCTATCATTTTTAAGAGGCACATTAGTCTTTGAAGATATTGTCCCAAAGTTTACTTAACCATTCTCATACCTGGGCATTAACAGGTATGAGAATTTTTTCTTAAGTTAATTTTTCCTTAACACATGCAACTAAAAAACCTTCGGTTCTATTCTCTAAAATGCACTAAAAATAGGGACCAAGGGATCAGCTGGTTAAGGGCTAATCACTTAAAACTTGATGACTTTGTTACCAGAATAGTACTAAATAGTACTGACAACTGGAAGAAAACTCACTGCACCATTCAGCTGGTACAAGGGTCTGGGCCCCGTCAGCCTGCTGCAACTGGCAGCCTAAATGGGGAGATTCCAAATGATTTTTTGAGATCAAGGTTCTTGAGAGCAATCACTACCAGTAGAACCAGTTATCAAACTCATCTAAGCCAGGGTAGAAGTGTTGGTGTTGGTTTTTTTTGGGGGGGGGGGAAGGGGAGGCACACACCCTGTGATTCTCAGGAGCTACTCTCTGATACAGTGCTGGAGGTCTGCAGAGATGAAGGCCAGCAGAGCATGTGCTCAGGCCCCTGAGCCATGTCCCTGGCCCCATCTTTTCATAAATTTTCTCAAACAGGGGGAAATTTCTTCGCAGTTGTCTTCAACTGCACATGTAGCTTCATTGGTTTGCCCCAAAGAGTTATGCACCCACCCCACTGTCTTTTGGAGGAGGTCTTCGCTATAATACAAAGGCATTCCCCTATAATGGAAAAAAGCTTTCCCTGATGGCCTCAAAAAACAGCCTGAGGAAAAATAACATGAACCAATACAACCCACTCACACTGACTTCACTGTCTTTGTTACCAATTATGCAGAAGCAAACGTGCAGCACCCAGGCAGGACATATCTGTCTTTTTTCTTTAAATTAGTCCCATGAATTATAGCTAATAAAGAAGGTTTATTAGCTTAGAGAATAAGAAGTCTTGACAAAGTGTGGGCGAATTCTATCTACAGAACATCAATTTTGGTGCTATTTGTATTCATGGGTCTTTGGGGGTTTGTTTTGTTTTGTATTGTATTCTTAAGGATTTTAGGGTAATTTTTAAAGTGCCAGGGACGCAAGGCATGTGCTATATACCACTGAGCTACATCCCTGGCTCCTTCAACTGATTTGTGTATTAAAGTCTTAAAGCACATTTGCCTTTTCTTAATAAATTTGTTTTGAGGGGACAGAGAGATAACTCAGGGAGCTGAGCACATACTTTATATGCAGGAGGTCCGGGTTCGAGTCCTAACACCACACAATCCTCTGGTACCACTGGTAATGACCCAGGGCCCGGAGCACTGCCAGGTGTGGACCAAAACCAAAAAAAAAAAAATTTAGTAACTTGTTAAGTAAAAGATACCCAGCATTTTAATGTGTATTTCTGCAAACATTAAGCATTTCCCCCATTATTTTAAGTTTCTGCTCATATGAATTTCCTCTATGAGACCTTGATACCTTGACACTTCTTCATGTATTTTAAACAGAAACCTATTTTTCATACCTGTTATAAGAATTAAAATGCAGGCCTTAAAGAACTTGAATTCTTTCAATAGGATTGACTGACTCTTTAAAATCATTATGTTTTGGGTTGTACAGAGTAGCTGTCTTATGTTAATATTATGTTTCCTTTTTTTCTCTTCTCTTGAGGCCCTGCAAATGTTGTTTCTTCCCTTCAATAACTCCCACTGAGATGTACCAACCAATAACTTCATTGTACACCCACTTTGGCTCCCCACTAGCTCCAATGCAACAGAGACCAGCAGGTGCCAAGTGCACAGTTTACAGATACAAATGACTGTCAGGTAAGGTATTGACAGAGCGCCTTTGAAAGGTTCTCTGGTGCTGAAGAAATTGCACATGCACCAGAGATGAACACTGAGAGATCAATTTAAATTTAATCTGACATCATCTACTGTCACCCATAGCAAAGTGCTAAAATATATCTATTCAATCCAAAGAATCACAAATCATACATAATGTTAAGATAAAGCCTCTGTTACTTTTCAAATTCTAAATGATCACAACTAATACAACATGAAATGCTCTTACTAGTCAAGAAATAATGTGTAATGAAATCTTTAAAGCAACAAAGCCATAGAGAACACTCAAAGCCGACTTTTCGCTAATTTAATTTTTCCCCCCTTGTTGATGAGAAGAAAGAAGAGTAAAATATTGGAAAGAAAGGTAAAGATATATATATGTATATGAACTGATGTAGTAAAAAAAGATTATAAAGGACTCCTCACTAGCTTGTGGCCAGAAACTATCCATCATTATTAAGTAACACACAGTGAGATAAAACAGTCAAGAAAAGAGACATAATCATCTGCAAAAAATGAATATAAATGAACTCAGGCCATAATTAATTCATTTGTATGTTGATATTTTAAGCAGTTTTTTAAAAAAATTAGAACACCTAAGTGTTCTTCATTCTCCAAACACTTCATTTGTATAAAATCTTTAGATTGTGAAAATTTTAGACAATGACATACAATGTGAAGTGCATAATTAAGTCAGCATTGACAAATACATAAAACTAATTTTGCACACATTAGAGTTCACTTTTTTTAATGCTTACAATTGTTTTAACATACGCATATAAGACCTTATATATAAGACCATATACCACCTCCACCAACAGAAAACAGCACTATTCTAACACACTTTTGTTTTTTAATTAGACCTTCCCTTCCCTCCCCCCACTCCTACAACCACCATTCTGTTCTCTACTTTAAAAATGTGCCTTTTGGGGGCTGGAGTGATAGCACAGTGGGTAGGGTGTTTGCCTTGCACACGGCTGACCCGGGTTCGGTTCCCAGCATCCCATATGGTACCCTGAGCACCGCCTGGAGTAATTCCTGAGTGCGTGAGCCAGGAGTAACCCCTGTGCATTGCTGGGTGTGATGAAAAAAGGGGGAAAAAAAGTGCCTTTTCTAGTATGGCATGTCTATGGAATTATATAAAATGTAATTCTGAGAAGGGCATTCGTTACTTAGTATACTGCATTTGAGAGTTAACAATTTTGTTGCAGATGTAAAAAAAATTGTTCCTTTCCTTATAGCTGAATAGTATTCCAATGGGTGTACATACCACAATTAGTTTACCCAATTACTAACTGAAAAACATTTGGATTCCTTCATCACTTCTGCACAGGCTTTGTTATGTGAACCCAATTTTCTCCCTTGCCCCCCTGTTTTGTTTTTGGGCCACAGCTGGCCGTGCACAGGTCTTACGCCTGGCTCTGTGCTCAGGGGTCACTCCTGACAGGGCTCAGGAGCAATATGGAGTGTGATCAGACCTGGGTTGGCTGCATGCAAGGCAATGCACACCCCATCCACTGCCCTATCTCTCCAGCCCCCAGTTTTATTTTTTCTTTAAAAAAAAAAAAAGATGCCTTATGTTTAACATTTTTTAGAAAATGCTACACTGTTTGCAGTGTGACTGAATTATTTCTGCCATGAATGCATGAGACTTCCAGCTGCTCCATATCTTCACCAATACCTCATGCTTTCAGTATTTTTATTTTGCCATTCTAAAAGGTTTCACACAACACTTTTTTTGAGCTTCCTTCAAAGAGTGAGTTCCTGCTCCTCAGAACTGACTGCAATATAAATTTATTTAATGTGCTACAGTATTAAAAACATGTTTTATTATCTAAAGACTTGAACTTAAATCTGAATATATTATTGCCTGTAACAGTAATAATAGCAAAGAGGAAAACTTAATAAAAACCTCATAATAAGCACTTATATCAGACACTGTTCTACGAGCTGCAGATAGATATTCATAGTCATTTATTGCTGACCCTATGAAGTAAACACTTACTATTCCCATTTTATGGATAAGG